CCAGGTGCTCTGCTGTCGGGGCAATGGCCCCTAGTAGGGTCTTTCATTGCAGATTGGGCCTAGGTGACCAGCCAGACAAAGCGCAATTCAGAATACTTGTATGGACAGAGAAGAATAGCTCAATGTTCCTTGCTTGTACGTACGCTACCAGGGCCCCACCCTGGAGCCAGGCCTGAGGAAGGGGCTCATTGGCAAGTACCTGGTGACCGGGCCTCTACACATAGGGCCTGGTCAGGCTCTGCCTGAATGAGTTGCATGGGTTTGCCTTCTTGTGGGCCCACTACATAAAGAAGAGACCATTCAAGTTGGGTGCATTGCATGGTGCCATGGGCAGTAGCTGAAGGCGCAGCTTTGGTGCACTGTCCCTGGCTTACCAAAGCTGGCTCTCGGGAAAATGGAATTAAACTTCTTTGGTGGGGAAGGAGCCTGAGCTTGGGTGTCGGGTTGAAAGGAACTGACTAGATATACTTGGGCTCACCAAGACACATGGCATGGCCTCTGGAATCAATCTCCTTGAAAGAGGCTAGACCTTATTCTACTCTGGAGTTGCCCATGGTGAGAGGTGCTGGGCTGGTATGGGCCGAGGTGCACTGTGGGGATGCTCCATGAGTATGGTATTGGAGGTTCATTGCTACAGGCCCTTCAGTCCCTATGCAAGTGGTGAGAGAGTGTGGTACACATTGCCAGCAGTGTCAGACCCCTTCAGGGTGGACTCTGCCTAAGCTGCCTGTCGTCACCAGTTCTATCTTTTACTTTTACAAACAGAGTTTCTTGGTACAGCCAAGGGGGAAAGAAAATCTGGTTTGATGGCCTCAGGTTTCCATCTCTGCTATTTGCGAATGATGTGAAAGTGATATGTATTGTCATTATTGCACATGTCCATATATTGATGAAATGTGTTCTCTATATTTAATCCATCACATGAGCTATGTCTACATGGAGAAGTGAGCAGCTATGTAAGTGCCCAGACAGCAGTTAGAGAATGGGTGTCTTGTTCAGGGACACCATGACATGAAGGCATGACAGGGAATCGAACCTGCAACTTTCTGATCCCAAGTCAGCTGCCCTGCCCTATTACTGTTCCACAAATGCCCAGTGGGGTCCAGTTGTAATCTTTGTGCCATGATTTCCATCTCTCACTGGAGCAGTTTGTAGCCAAGTGTGAAGCTGCTGGGATGAAAATAAACACCTCCAAGTCTGAGTCCATTGTTCCCAGTCTGAAAAGGGTGGACTGCCCTCTCCAGGTTGGGTATAGGGTGCTGCCTTAAGTGGAGGAGTTCAAGTAACTTGAAGTTTTGTTTACAAGTGAGGGAAGAGTGGAATGCGTGATCGACAGACGCACGGCGCAGCCTCCATAGTATTGCAGACTTTGTGCCGGTCCGTTGTAGTGAAATGGGAGGTGAACTGCAAAGTGAAGCTTTCTGTTTATTGGTCAGTTTATGTTCCCAGCCAGTAATCTAGGGGAAACATTGTATGGTCAAAAATTTGGGTAGTGACCGAAAAGACAAGATTGCGGATACAAGTGGTAAAAAAAACAAGTTTTCTCCACAGGGTAACTGGACTCTCCTTTAGAAACAGGGTGAGAAGTTCAATTATCTGGGAGAAACTCAGAGTAGACCTGCTGCTACTCTACATTGAGAGGAGCCAGTTCAAGTGGTTCGGGCATCTGGTAAGGATGCCACATAGATGCCTCCTTAGGGAGGTTTTCAGGCATGTCCAACTGGGAGGAGACCATGGGACAGATCCAGGACACGCTACAGAGACTGTGTCTCTAGTCTAGTCTGGGAAAACCTTGGAGAGCTCCCAGAAGAACTGGAAGACGTGGCTGTGAATAGAGATGTATGTGCATTCCTGTTTAAGTTGCAGCTCCGCGACCCAACTCTGGAACTAGAGGAAAATAATAGATGGATGGGATGGATGGACAAATTCAATTAATGAATCCATCTTTTAACATTTGTAAAGAATAATTAAGAAAGTATGTCTAACCTTTATAAAGCCGATGTGTTACTTGTAAGTTACTGATTAACTCTTTCTTTGCACTTGACATCCATGCAACAGTGAAAAAAAATCAAACATGTTCCTCATACAGGAAGCTACACTGATTAGATGAGGAAAGAAAATACATTTCTCTTGAGGATGAAACACTGCAGTCGCAAGTGAATGGCCCGGCCAGAATACTCCAAAATGGGCTCTCATTGACATAGTTGTATGATGAAAATTGTGCCATTTTGTCCGCAGAGCAGCTTCGCCCGCCCCTTCTCAACACAAGGCCCAGGCTGAACTTTTCTCACAGGCGTTTGCGCCAAGGATTGTGTGATTGGTCAGATGTTTGTGGGCGTGTTCATCAATGTGGAAATGTGCTCAAACATTCAGCTGTACAACTCCTCAAACTCACTAAATTAGTCAAATGGCCCAAAACTCTTGAATGGAGATTGTGCAGACGTGTTTAGAGTCATGTGTCTGCTGAAAGTGTGGCGTTCTCTTCATGATAGATCTGTGGCCAAACGGCTGACGCAGGGACAGAGTGGAGACTCTGGTGGGAAGAAACCCACTGAGTGACGTATACTACAGCGGAGGGGTTTCCCAGGAGCTCTGCGTCTCATAGATGATGAAAGGTGTGCAAACAAACCAACATCCTGCAATCACGTAACTGCTTGTCGACTGTTCGGCTTCAGTTAAAGTATGCCGGGCCCTTTACTTACTACTCTTTCCTTATTTATTCCCTTTGTAAATGTTTCCTTTATGTAAAAAACAAACAAACCATTATATATAAAAGGCAGCACAGTGCTGTGGCTTCAAAACAAACAGAAGAATAAAATCTCCTGCTCCAAGTGGTCTGAAGTGTTTTCATGCATACGGTATTTTGTGAGACTGTGAACATCTGCTACCTGCCGTACTGATAGACGACCCATTATCAGACAGGTTTTTGTGCTAACCGTGGTAACCTGCAGCAGAAAACATTTCCTCTTGGACAACGCCAATGTCAATATTTGAGCCAGGGTCAAAGGGGTGGCTAATGGTTGACACAAAAAGGAGTGAAGAGAGCAAATAAACTGAGCCAAGAGTGTAAACTGAATACTGGCATGGATTACAAAATAAATTAAAAAAAGATAACTAAAAAATGTATTTATTTCATAACATGATTTATCTGAATCCCCGAGTATCTAAAACTTGAATGTGTAAATCCACTAAAGTACTGTAAAAATACCAGGGACTGAGCCTGATGTGTGTTCAAGACACACTGTGTCATCCTGATGTGTAAAATTAATTAATCAAATGATTTCAAAACATGTTTTACTCATCAGGGAATCAAATTGTCATTTACTGCTTACAACTAAGAAAACTGACTCTTTATTATCAACAAAGTCCATGCTCAATAATCCAGGTATACAATCCAACAACTTTCAGTCAGGTCACCTGACTCTTTGTCATTTCTGTTCTTATATGAACAGCAGGAGCTTTTGTGTTAAAGTTAGTAATATTTAACCTGCTTCAGCGCCTCTTTACTGTGGGGTTCCGCAGGGCTCGATTCTTGGACCACTTCTGTTTTCACTGTATCTGCTCCCTTTGGGATCTATCCTGAGGAACGATGGTCTTTCTTTTCACTGTAATGCTGATGATTGTCAGAATTATCTACCCTTAAAACCCAATAGTTCTTGCTCAATTCACCCTTGAAAAAATAGTCCATGCCTTCTTTACAACCCAACTAGACTACTGTAACATGCTTTATGTTGGGGTCAGTCAGGTCTCCCTTTCACGTCTCCAGCTCATCCAAAATGCTGCAGCTCGGTTCTTAACAGGAACTCGTAGGTTTGATCATACTGTATTTCACCAGTTTTATCCTCCCTTCACTGGCTCCTTGTATGTATTAGAACAGATTTTAAAATGATCCGGTTGACCTTTAAGTGCCTGAATGGCCTTGCATCCTCATACTTCTCTGACCTACTGCAACCATATCTTCCTTTTCGGGTACTGAGATCATCTGACCAGCTGCTTTTGGTTGAAGCTCAGAGGAGATTGGGCTTTTTCAGTCGTGGGCACTAAACTTTGGAACAGTCTGCCCCCCAACATTAGACAGGCCACTTCACTTCCTGTTTTTAAATCTCTTAAAAACTCACTTGTTTTCTTTGACTTTTAACACAGTGTGATTTTATTTAGTATTTCTGTGGTTTTATGTTTTTCTTTTGATGCTTTTAATTAATTTTGGATACTTTTTTAATGAAATTATGGCTACTGATTTTTATTGTTAAGCATTTTGGTAACTGCTGCTGTTTTTAAATGTGCTTCATAATTAATTTGACTTGACTGTTTAACAAACGTTTACTGAAACGTGCATGAGATGATGATGAACCTTGACGCACGACCAGTATTTATCCACACTACTGTTACATCTTTTGACAAATACATGTGTAACAAGACTTTATTATTTCTACTTGCACTTAAATAATTTACCTAATATGCTATTTTTGAGTGCTACAAGTTAACTACAGTGAAACTAATATGGTGTGTAATCCTTCACTTCCTCTTGCTGTTGTTGAAACGTTACATTTAAGTTCGTTGTCTAAAGTAGTGTTGCATCGCTGAAGGAGGAAGAGAAGGAGAATCATTTAAAAATGTTATCGTAGGAGTCACATGGTGAACAAACACTGTGTTCAGCAGTACAAACTAAGAAGGGGTGTCAGGTTATTTAATGTTCATTAGCTGATTTTACAGATTATTATACCGTATACTACATGTATACAACCCTAAAGGGGCAGAACAAAGATTAATTTTGTGCTCAAAGTCACAAAAGAAAAGCCTTAAAACAAGGCCGGGCTCCAGGAAAGAAAATCTGGTTTACTGTATCTGGATTAAAACAATCAGAACTTGTGTTTTTATACTTTCTCTTCTTCCTACCAGCACAAACTTCACATCATCACAGAGTTTTAAGGTGGTTTCCCAACAAGACTTTGTGTTATTTTCATTTATTACATGTGGAGAAGGTGTTGACTGCTACTTACCCAGAAGATGAAGTTAAAAATAAAAAGAAGAAACTTGATACATTTCATTCCACCTTCTACAGCCATGGCTGATGATTATCAGGTTCCTGGATTAAAAAAAATAAATCAAACAAAAAGTTAATTATTACAATATGACATCATCTGTCATAACAGCAGCACAATAGTCAATCTTTAAACTATAAAACTCTTTAAAAGGTGTGTTAATGAAGCTTTGTTCCCCCTGAGGGGACCGGAAGTTGTTTTGGAGAAACAGAGTCCGTTCGGCTCGGTTCCGGACCGTTAATCACCGTTGACCACAATACGAGCTTTGTTAGATTAACTACATCAACAAATTAATCAACCTTTTAGGTCTGCAAACAGGCTCAACGAACAAAGGAGGACACAACATTTGGAGTCACATTACTTCCGAACAGACCGAACAAAACCAGCGTTTGGTACTTTTAACAGTTTTAACCGTTGTTTAAAAAAGTTTACTACGAAAACGGATCGGTGTACCGAACAAACACTACTACTACAAAAAAAAAAAACACAGAAACTTTATTTCGTCTTTTGTGACTTACCGTTAGTAAGGTTATTTCAAGACCCAAAAGTAGGGCGAAAATATCAATATGGCGAAGTTTTAGACGACGTCTTCAGATCAAACCCCCTTTTCAACAGCGCTTCTCTGATGGTGATGCTGCGTTCAGGGACGTCTCGGGATTTACAGCACTCATACGTCTCTCTTCTGTCACGGAGGGAGGGAGCTAAATTCATCTTTCTGCTACGGCACTGCTTTCGGATGGGAGGCTGCTTTCAAGGACGGGTCGGGATTTACAGGACTATTTTCATTAAACCTTTATACAGGTAAGGGACAAGTCTCATCGAGTCTCGGGGACTCGTTTACAAGAGAGACCTGGTTTTTATCAAATGATGACAACAAAAGACAACTGTAGACAACTGTAGACAAGAACAGAAAATCATAAAGGAAAGCATAGGATTCAAGGATTCTGATCTGCTAAGTTCCTGGCAAAAACCAATGCAGACATATTCCTGTTTTTAGTATTATACATTGCCTCACAACATAGCTGGTTTATTTTTTTTGTTTGTTTGTTTATTTAATACCATTTTCTTTCACTTGTTCTTCTCAGTTTGTATGCTTCCTTTATGATTGTCTATTGTTGTCGTTGTCTACTGTTGTCATCGCTCTTTTTTAAAATCAGGTCTCTCTTGTAAATGAGTCCATGAGGCTCAATGGGATTAACCGGTATGAAAAAGGTTGAATGAAAAACTCAAGGTTCTTTATTGTCATTCTCATAAAATGTGGAACATGAAGTGGAAAAAAATTGTGTACACAGGGACCCAGTTACATCCAACAATAGCAAAAATATAAAGTGTAAAAAGAAACAGTAAATAAGGATCTAAGATATAAACTGAGATGTACTTGAAAATAACGCCCAACGGTACGCTAAAAGATCTAAGGTATACGCTAGTCTCAGTTCAAAACACGGAACAGCAGGAGCACAATTCTCATAGGTTCTGTTCTGCTATAGTTCACATGGTAATGCTAGTGCTGTATGAACGTGTGTGTGTGTGTGGTAGAGTGCTGTATAAAGTGCAGCACAATAATCCTTAGCATCCAGTGCTTCAACATCATACAGACTTGTACATCTGTATTGTGTCAGAGAGGGCGAGAGCCGGATCCACTCTGGGGGGGCAGGTTGCCGGCGGGGCCTGTGGACTCGTCGCTGCAGCCTCCTGGGGGTTTCTGCATTGTGGTTGCTGGGGATCGCCCAGGGCTTCCCTTTGCTTCTCTCTCTGGGGGTGTGTGGTTGTCCCTGTTGGGGGACTCCCGGAGCTCCAGGCTTGGGGGCCGCTGTGTGTCTGTGGTTCCGGTCTTCCCTGTGTTACCTTCGTGTCCTGTGGGGACGGGCCACTATTGAACATTCTTATGGAGAAACCTTATAGTGATAAACATGCTCACACAGGTGTTTAGATCCAGGTGTTTATCAGATACACACTCAGTTGGATTGTGGTGGCCACTAAATACATCTTGTATTACCATGTACTGTATAAAATACTTTCTAATGATGTTACAAGTATCATTATATATGTTGTTTGTTGTTGTGGTTTCTGGGTTTTGTCTTGTTTTTTATTTCCACAGGTCTAGAGGCAGACTTCAATGATGTTGATTTGTGTTCTCTTTATACCTCTCTCTCTCTCTCTCTCTCTCTCTCTCTCTCTCTCTCTCTCTCTCTC